GGAGCGGCCACCGCAGCCGCGACATGCTGGGCTCCGGCGATCCTTCCGCCTCAGCCTTCCAAGTAGCTGGAACTACAGGCGCGCGCTACCATGCCTGGCTGATTTTTTAAATTTATTGTAGAGATGAGGTCTCACTGCCCAGGCGAGTCTCGAACCCGCGGGCTCAGGCAATCCACTCACCTCAGCCTCCCAAAGGCACGGGATTACAGGCTGAGCCACCAAGCCCAGCTGTAATTCTGACTATTTGCTACTGCACTCCAGCCTGGGCAACGGAGTGAGACTCCAACTCAAAAAAAAAGGAAAACAGTGTAACAAGTGTTTAATAAATGTTAGCTCTCATTACCTGTACTACCGTGTAATTATTCAGAGGGGAGGACGTGACCAGTCTGACCATCTATTTATTCCTTGATTATCAAGTCTATGAATATGTATTGAGTGCTTTCAACAAGTTTTCAAAAGATTGGAGAAATGTTCAGGAAGTAAAATAAGTTTTCCTGACTGGCAGCAGCAGAGCTCCAAGTCAGTTCTCCAGGTGGGCGAGTGCTTGTGTGCACACCTCCAAGTCTAGAAGCTTCTGCAGAGTTGATTGGTTGTCATACAACATTCTCATATCTGGGATGAAAACAAACAGAATCACAGATGTGAGCTTGAAGGGAGCTTAGAATCCCCCTAGCTCGGTGGTTTTAAAACACTTTATTTTAAAATCAATTCCTTTGTTCAAAAGAGCAGGTATATAAAAGAGCAGGTCTGACAGGCACCCTCCTCCCATCACCACCAGGGAACCTGGGGGTCCCCAGAGCACAATGTGAAAGCTGATCCCTCAGATCCTGGCTGGAACGTGGGCAGTGCACAGATGAGGATGCTAGGTGGAGTTTATAAAGGAAAAACCATGCCAAGCGCAGTAGCTCACCCCTGGAATCCCAGCCACTCGGGAGGCCGAGATGGAAGGATCACCTGAGCCCCGGAGGCTGCGGTGAGCTGTGATCGTGCCACTGCGCTCTGGCCTGATGACAGAGGGAGACTGACTCAAAAATAATAAGAAGGGCCGGGCCCGGAGGCTCAGCCTGTAATCCCGCGCCTTGGGAGGCCTGAGCCCGAGGGTTCGAGACCCGCCTGGGCAACTGGGCGAGACCTCATCTCTACAATAAATCAAAAAATCAGCGGGCGTGGCCGCGCACGCCTGTAGTTCCAGCTGCTTGGAAGGCCGAGGCGGAAGGCTCGCCGGAGCCCGGCAGGTCGAGGCTGCCGGGGCCGGGAGCGGCCACTGCCCTCCAGTCCGGGCGACAGAGTGAGACGCCAAATCAAAAAAAAAAAAAAAAAAAAAAGTGGTAGAACCTCTTTTTTCTTTCCTTTGTTTTTTTAAATCAATATTTTTTCTTTTGATGTGGTGGGGTACAGTTAAGGGCTGGGCACACAAATATGCTTCGTTCAGGCAGCCTTGTTGATAAATGGAGGCTCCCGAGAGCCCCTCCAGTCCTCCGCAGCGCGCGC